ATCGAAACCACAAAAAATTCGTCCACGAATATTTGAAAATATTTCCTGACAAACGTAAATTTCTAAACCGGAAGTCACCAATTTGAAACCCTCGAAACCGGAACATTCATTTTAGCCAATGAGCTAAGACCTTGCGAGAGCTGCTACTTGACTCAAAAGTACAATGGTGACAGTTTTGTAAATAAGTTAATATTGAGGAAGATAATTGTATAATGTTTTGATAGATATTTTCAACGTTAAATTTTATTAAAGTTAAAATATATAAACTGGTTTTTGATATTAATACCTTGTATACTATATTCACAATATTCCGAGGACTATACAGTATGTTGTCCAATTTTCGGACAGTACCACTATTCGGACGAAATATTTTTATCGCCAAATTGTTTTATGAAGAATAGCAAACACATAAAAATCAATACGTTCAGATGATTGCCCGATATGTCCTGAATCTTGCTCTATATTTTCGACGTTTTTGTTGTTGTTTTGTGCAAACGTGAACACTTCGAGTAAAGGTCAGTCGAAAATATTTTCTTAAAAATGGCGTAGTTCACGACAGCGCGATCAGGCAAGTACACTTCAGTAGATTGTTTTGTGAAAATATACTGCCGAATCATTAATTTTTTCGCTGAAGGGATGGTTATATAAACCGAAAATTTTACCACAATAATAATTGTTGCTACTGTCATAAAATTTAAGAAGTTTCGGACTTTTAAGTGAAGAAACAATTTTTGAGCATCTTATCAATACTCGGACGATGGCTTAGAGTTGACAATCTTATGACTAAAATCACGAGTATATTTAACAGAATTATATATTTAAAATGTTTAAAGAGTGTACAAGTTGTTTATGTCTTGATAAACTTTCGTTTTCGATAATTTTGTTGACTTTAGTTCAATGCGAGTTTCGATATTATTATGTGAATCTATCCACCGGGAATTGTATATATCTTAAAGTGAGCTTTACTTGACTGAAATTTCATATTAGAATATGGTTCAAAGAATTATGACATTTATTTCTATAACATAATCAAGCCTTAAATTCCAGTATATATCAAAATACAGCTTACCTTCGACAGAAAACCGACTATTATTATAAGTGTCCGAATAGCGGACCAGCTGTCCGAAATGTGGTGATGAAAATGAAGTACTTGTTTTCGATATTACAGAAAAGTAAAGAACTTTAGCGACGTATCTCTTAGAATAATATAGCCATGGGAAGTGGTCGTCATCTGTACAAATTTGAACCTGCTAAACATCTTAAATCGCAAAATATAGTGTGAAAACACTTTACTGTCCGAAAATTGGACAACATACTGTAGTTGTTGTACAGGTATTTTCATCGTTTGCAATTTGTCAATTACTGGTAACTTGTTTTAGTCTTTCGGAAAGCAATGATATCTCAGAACACAAGACTTTATGTGACAATTTCGATATATTTTTATTGCAAATGAAATAAAAATATCAAGCAAACGTCGATTGTATCCGTGCATGTGATTCATTGACTTTTAATACATACTTCCGTGTATGTGCATGTGCATTTATGGATAGCGTGCTACAATAACGTGATTGTACTGTAATTCCTTCGCAGTTGCCAGTTGCTATGCAACCAACACATCGATATTTTAATATATTGATCCTCAAAGGAAATGTTTTTTAAAAGACGATAGCATAAACTAAGATATAAATGGACCATTTCGCAAGGTAAGTTTCTGACATTCGAAGGAAGAAATATTTTTTTTAACCCCTGAAACGGAGTTAGATTTATTTAACTCCTTAAAAGGTGTTATATTTTAACACCCAATGAGTGTTATTTTAACTCCAAAACTGGGGTTAAATTTTAACACCTTAATTGGTGTTATTTGTAACCCCTAAAAAAGGATTATTTTAGACTAAACGTCGTAACCCCTCTTTTTGGTGTTAAAATAACACCCCGAAAATAACAGTGTAGGTACTACTTTTCAAGACAATCTCAAGTTCACCAGTCATGTGCGAGGTAAATTGGTCAAAGCAAACAAATGCTTGTATGTTATACGAACACTCAGGGCAGAAGGCTATAGCCAATGTGAGATAGATTATCTATTTATAAGACCCTAGTAATATCTACTATAACGTTTGGCCTGTCCGTCTACGGTTCAGCTTCTCCAGCCGGTTTTTTGACAGACGTTTTAAGCGAAAGTATATATCAGAACCTGTAAATATTAGATATCTTTTAGAAATACAGGACAGAAATATTTTTAAAGCTTCTGTAAATCAGAAGAGTGCCATAGTCGACTTGAGACCAAGAAAAAAATCCACAAGCTACTCTTTGAGGACAGAGTTTAGTCAGTATCCAAGAGTGAACACGGAACGTTTTAAATTGTCGTTTGCAAATAGATTAATTTTTAACTATAACCTATTCATATGATGTAAACTTTACTAATGTATTCTTAATATTTACTTGTAACATAAGATATGTATTTTTATCTTTTGACCCAATAAAAAGACTTTTGAATTTTAATTTGAATTGTATGCATCTGCTATTAATTTTTAGCGCGCTTGCCAAAACCCCTGCATTCAGCCATTTCTATATTATTTACTTCATGCATGAAAGATTGAAAATATTGTGATTTCAATAACGTGTTTAATGTTTTAACAAAATATCAAATATAAGGCCTGTTTAGTTCTAAACGTCGCATTTTACATGCGCCGAATCACGAATGCATTCAAAACAATGGATAATGATTTCAGCTGATTATCTAATGTTTTGAATGCATTCGGCACATGTAAAATGCGACGTTTAGAACAGGCTAGCTTATACATGGATATAACCTGAAGTTCAGGCCCTAATCACAGAATAGGGCCTGACACAAAACCTATCTAAACTGTGGGATTCCCGTCCATCTGGTGGACGGGAAATCTGATTGGTTGATCAGCATCATGAAGGATTTTGATTGGTTGCAAGTTCACATAAACAACAGTTTTAAAAATAACTCGGTCAAGGCGACAATTAATATAAAGTCAAACGCACGTAGCAAATTCCATTATCGATTTCTTCGAATTTCTTTTCTTTTATGCTTTATGTCCTTTATGGCAGAAAATAATCGAACAAACAGTATTTTGAAAGGGCTTCATCAAAATCTTTGACGAATTTTGGACACACGACGCTGAAAGAACAGCCAAACTAGTCATGTATTCGAAAGCTTGTTGTTGACAGCCAAGATGTTCTGCCAACTGCCTTCGCCGGCACAAAAGTCTTATTTTTAATATCAGGTCCTACCGGCGTTGTTTTCTGAGCTACATCGCCTTCTTCGTAGTACGATTGAGAGTTTCATTGTTGCTGTTGTTAGCCCGTTAGTCGTTAGAGTACTACATCCACGTCCAGCAAGTTGAGACCTTGAGAAAGCTTGGCAGTCAAGTCGTGCACATAACTGACTAATTAAATCTTTGTTTGCTGTTCGGTTAAATAGAGAAACTGACTCTTAATTATATAAAAGTACCTTGAATTTTTAAGTTTAATTAAAAAGCAAAATACACACTCTGCGGACGGCATATTGTAAACACTGGACTGGACTTTGGACTATGGACTTTGGACTTACGATTTTGAAATTATATTATTTTTAAGATTTTCGTATAATTATATTAAAATCTAAACAGAGAACGAAAATTTGCTGCTGAAAAGCGTGCTACACTGCATACATATGCATGGTATAATATTCAAGGTAAAAAATACTATCAGTTATATAGGTATACCAGTGCAACTTCAGATATACTATAGCCTTGTAGGATAACAGGATTATCTCAGTAATATTTTTGATTTAATGTTTAAATTTGATTATAATATTTGTATTTATAGTATGTATAGCCTAGTATGTATAGTACAGTTTATACTGCAGAACTTCTTCTTTATCATATAGATAATAGGTTTATAGAAACAGTTGTGACAAAAGTATCTTGGCAAATACAAAATATTGAGAAACTATACGTATAAACTACACGCGATTATTATTGTGCCTATTGACTGTATCATGTATCTCTTTAACTGAATTATTCGCCAAAGGCGAGGCCGTGATAATCGGGGAATTTGTCTTGACAGTTGACAACTTGTAGGATTTGTTATATATTTATTCACTTGCGCAAAAATACCAAATGCCGGTATTGTTCATCGTTGCATAATAGTTTACACCCGTTTAGCGCCTGCCTATAAATAGGCTGTGTTTGCAACGTATTTTGTCCGGTGTCAGTAGTTTAGCTTTTCATGAATGTAATCAGCGGATTTCAGCCATAGTGAACACGAAAACTCTCATAGTCATCATACTTTATAAAATACGAATGAGTAGTATTACAGTAAACGTGGCAAATAGTTGCTAGACTACCTGAAGCACATTGAGACATAGATTTTTGCCTTCTCACACACAAATGAGTAGGTCATAAAAAGTGTGTAAATTTCCGTTCGAATATTCCTGTCCACTCTTGACTAACACTTATTAATAATAACTGAAGTCTGAAGCACTTACATAGTGATAAGGATAGCTAAAGAATGTCTTTCAAAAATAAATAACATTAACAAAACGTTACCGTGTAACGTACCAATTACACAATACAGTACTATAGTTTAAACTATTATGCAAAGATGAACAGTCAATATTATAGATACATAATACAATACTCAATAGGCGCAATAATAATCGCTTGTATAGTTTATAGTTTCTCAATATTTTGTATTTGCCGATATACTTTTGTCACAATTGTTTCTATAATTAATCTAGATATCTATTATCTATATGATAAACTGGAAGAAGTTCTGCAGTATAAACTGTACTATACATACTATAAATACAAATATTATATAAAATTTAAACATTAAATACCAAAATATTGGATAATCCTGCTATCCTACAGGCTATATCTATGAAATAGCACTGCTGGTATACCTATACAGGGTGTATAAAAAAAAAACTGAACAGATTTGAAATTGCTCTCAATTTCGCAAAACACCTATTTGTATCTGGTTTTTTATATATATAGCTTCTTTGGGTACTTATAATGTAAAATATTGAAAAAAATTTCTCGATCTCAAATTTTGTGAACCAGGGGGGTGTGTCTTTTGCAACAAACTAAAAATGGCTCGCGCACAAAATTTAAAAGCTGTAATCATATTTTGAGTTAATAGATTGAAAATTTGTCGGGTTTTTAATTACTGTACAAAATTTCAGACAATTTGGTTTAGTTTAAGCCCTTTAACTATTCATTTTGTTCTAAAAGGTCAGCCTTTCGCATGCTTAATTAATGCCTTTACCTAATTTGCATATTGCTGACATATGCAAATTAGGCAAATGCATTAATTAAGCATGCAAATAGCTGATTTTTCGGGAAAATTGTAACTTTGCGTGAATAGTTAAGGGGCTTAAACTAAACCAAATTGTCTGAAATTTTGTACAGCAATTAAAATCCGGACAAATTGTCCATATGTTATCTCAAAATATGCTTGCAGCTTTTAAATTTTGTGCGCGAGCCATTTTTATTTTGTTGGAAAAGACACCCCCCCCCTGGTTCACAAAATTTAAGTTCGAGAAATTTTTTTCATTTTTTTACATTATAAGTACCCAAAGAAGCTATATATATAAAAAACCAGCTACAAATAGCTGTTTTGCGAAATTGAGAGCAATTTTAAATCTGTTCAGTTTTTTTTGATACACCCTGTATAACTGATACTGAATATTTTTTACCTTGTATATTATTATATCATGCATGTGCATGCAGTGTAGCACGCTTTTCAGCAGTAAATATTCGTTCTCTGTTTAGATTTTAATATAATTATACGAAAATCTTAAAAATAATATAATTCCAAAATCGAAAGTCCAAAATCGAAAGTCCAAAGTCCATAGTCCAATGTCCATAGTCCAGTCCGGTGTTTACAATATGCCCTCAGAGCGGACATGTTCATGAGAATATAAATTTTTTGTGTAACGAAATCTACAACACTTGTCAATCATATTGCATGTTGTGTCTAAAAATAACATATGGGCGTCCCACGGTCTAGACAGGTTTTGTGTCAGGCCCTATTTCAAATTAGGGCCTGAACTTCAGGTTAACATGGATAGAAATCCAATTCCCAACATTAATACTACGAGTTTTGCCTTTGAACAAAATATAAAATATAATACACGGATAGAAATACAATTCCCAACATTTATAATACTACGAGTTTTGCCTTTGAAAATTCGAAACTATTGCAGCATTGCAACGCCAATGCAGTTTAATTAATTAAAGTGCGGAAACAAGAAAGTTGACATTTGTTGACATTAGTAATCATTGTCGCATGATAGGTGCTAGTCTGCTCACAGACAAACGGCCTGCGAGCAGGCTAGATAGGTGCTGGCTATCATTGCTCTGGCTCAGGCTCGCCCCATGATGCTTAGCATCTCCGTAGTAAAATATGTTGTCAGACGTCCATGTTTATAAACGTACAGTCGCATGGCTACCATCGGAAAATATTGTGATGTTCCAGTATATTCCGTGATATTCCGCCATATTCCGTGATATTCCGCCATATTCCGTGATATTCCGCCATATTCCGTATTATTCCGGCATTCCGGGTTTTCACAACGCCCAGTGAAATAGTGACGTTTTACAAATCTCGCCCAAACGTCACTATTTCGCGGTTCAAAGTTCAAACTAATCGTTGTTACATGTCAACATGCACGTTTGACCCACCCATCGTGTATGTTTGAAACGTAAACAAAGGTGAACTGAAAAAAGTTTGGATTTTGCGGTTGCTTGCAAATGGAAGTATTGTTATTGTTACATTTCTATGTAAATATATATTTTTTTATGTGTCTGACAAAATGAATAAATGAATAAAAATAAATAAATGCACAGCACGGTGTTAAATATCAAGATGAATTTTTTGCCGAGCCTAGTGCTTACAAATGTGCTAACAATGTACTTACAAATCTTATTAGAGCCTTGTCTTGATTAATTAGGGCAAAATGGAGCGCAAAACGTTTTGTACGTGTTGTAGCAGGCATTAAAATAGCGTGTCCTTGTACACACTTTGTGTCCTTGTAAAAGGCGAATGTGCCCTTGTAATTGAAAAGTGTGTACTTGAAAATATATTAAACTGAAAATATATTAATGTAATCCACGCAAAATGGCCAAAGATTTTGCAAATTCTGTTCTCAGAACTCTGGAAATGCCATTTCAGAGACCCCCTTAAAAGCTCACGTCTTCGACGCTAAACTTGTGGCTTCGGCACTCGTTCTCATGAGTCTGCGCATTTATACCAAAAATACGCCTCTGAAAGTAAAGTGTGTCCTTGTAAAAATTCCGTATTTTAATGCCTGTGTTGTAGAATCAGAATGAAGCATGCAAATCGATCGTATAATGACTAATGAAATTGGCATGTCCGGACCTGTTTGGCGAAAGCGCAATCCACACTGAATACAAAAGCTAAATGATTTAAATACCTGTGCTTATCTGCTCTAAAAGCAAACGAGGCATGATCAACCCTTTTAACTGCTTCCGGTAGACACGATTTAATCTTTTCCATAAGAACGGTTTGAAATTCGCCAAATACGTAATGGTGGTCGTCACTTTTGCAGCATTTTTGCTCATTTATACAGATCAGATCTGTAGACACGACGTTCAGGAGCTCTGTTGCTAGGGGGAAATATTCTTCGATAATGTCCTTGACACTCTCTGGCCAACCATCCAGATCTTCTCTACTCGGTTGGGGACACCAACCACGCCAAAACGCTGACTGGCCGCCAAAGACGTCGTTAATCCCATCCTGCTTATTAATTAATTTCCCTTCTTGCATTTTTTTTGTTCTATTCCAGTGATGCCTCTTTGAATCATATGTCAACTTCCTTTTATAGGAAGGTGGAAGGTTTTCAAAGTGCTCTAGATAATAATATTCGCCGCGTTCGAGAATAAGGATCTTCGCTTTTGGATTCTTCTCCAACATGCGTTGAGTAAAAGCCCAAGCACAAAACGATGACCCAATGACAACATAATCAAAGTTACCGTGTTCGCGAGACTCATTCCACCGTTCTTCACTCATGAAGAAGACGTTCGTCATCAGTTCACTTACGGACTTACCCTGGCGAGCCTCAGGGAATGGAGAACCATTACGCGGGTTGGATTCTTCGCCGGCCATTGCTCAAGGGGCAATGTTGAACCTGTTGTTGAACATATATTCAAAATTAAATTAACTTTCGATATCGTACGGCAACGTCTAAAACATGGAATGGAACATCTGGAACAACTGGAACGTCTGGAATATCTGGAACATCTCATAATTTAGTTTTTACAATTTTTTTGCGCAATTTGGCAATATTAACGATCTACACCATTTGAACTTGTAGATTCAGTCAATTTTGACGAGTCCACGAGCTTATTTGTAGGAAATGAAAGGTAAAGGCTGCTAAGTTTAGCTATTATTTTCTCAACAAGCGCTAATTTGAACTATGCCGATTGTGGAATAGTATTTTGCGGGTTTCATGTCTTCGGTTCAGTGAATGCTATGTAAAGCCTGGTTCACATATACCTGCGGCATGCCTGCGACTGTATCATTATGCCTCTACTTGCCGCCGAAATACCGGCAAAGTTGAACTCAAGTCAACTTTCCCGGCCTACCGCCGATGTAACTGTGGCACTGGAGGCAATGTTTTAAAGCTACCATCGGCATCGTCGCCGGTACGTCGCCGGTACGTCGCAGGCACGTCGCAGGCATATATGTGAACCAGGCTTAAATGAAAATACCACCGTTTGATTCAGTGAAACAATAATATATTCCTAACGATAGTTTTTGTCAAAGACAAACATTATAGGGATTTATGAGCTTTGAGTGGTCAAGCGATATCATATTTCGTTAAAATAAATAACTCGAAGAATGTAAACAATTAACTTTGGCCCATTCAAACTGTGAAACATATCTTGTTCGTTGTAGTCTTGTTGGAATCACGATCTAAAACACTATTTAGAGTGTTATTTTCAAACCTGTAGCTTCAGTTTCATCTTTATTCACGCGCGTGCGAGTGAAAACCCGATATTTTGAAAATATCAAAATAAATATTTGTACTCTCCGACTACGTATAACAGTATTCAGACATAACTTTCTACATGAATTCGAAAGCGCTTGAATACAAGGAGTATTTTACTCGATTGACTTGGAGGAATTCGGTATTGAAAAGATACTCCTTGGGAAGATATTCAGAATTTAAATTCAAAGATATGAAACCTGCAAAATAGCCGTGAAAATAGCCAGTTCCAATTAGTGATTCCACATTGTAGGAAATTTACCTGATTGCAGGAAATTTTACTATCGAAAAGGAAAAATTCAGGATTAAGGAAAATTCAGGAAATCTGCTACCCTGGATTCCAGATCCTTCGACAGTAAATAATAAATTGAAGCGTCGCGAAGGCTCTGGTTCAACGGGAAGATTCTTTGATTCTTTGATTTGATTGTTTTTGTGATTGGCGCGGTTTAATCAAAGAATCTTCCCGTTGAACCAGAGCCTTCGCGACGTTTCAATTTATTATTTACTGTCGAAGGCTCTGGAATCCAGGGTAGAAATCTGCCAAAACTCGAGAAATCTAAGGAAATTCTTCAAAAGGATGTTGACTTATATATTTTAATAAGGGCTAAACTACTAGTTCGTTTGCATTTATGAACAAATTAGCAGAAATCACGTCCTCTTTGTTGTCATGATCATATATGGTGTATATACATGCCCTAAAATTGAGCTCTTCGATCATGCGATACAAAAACATGAGCCGCGTACCACGAGGTTCCAACTGTTAGGATTCGCCGTGTTAGGTTCTGATTAAATAAAGAACTTGGCACTTTTGTTGTCCTCTCTCCGGCCTCCAAAAATATTAGGAATGTTTCAGGAAAACCCAGGTTATTTGCAGGAAATTTAAGGAAATTTTACACAGACAACAGGACATTTTGTAATTTCATTGTGGTAACACTGATTCCAATATCGGGATCCTACTAAACACTGACCGGTACCATCCCGGGACCGTCCCGGGATCGTCCGGGGACCGACCGTGCCAATAATTCACAACAATAATTTCCGTATCGGCATGGTTTAATTAGCACCTGTCAAGTAAATAATAATAGAACTTAGAAGCCTTTACCTTTCATCAAATACTGTAAGCTCGTGGACTCGTTTAAATGGCGTAAATCACGCGTTAATATTGCCAAATTGCGCAAAAAATTTGTAAAAACTGATTTATGAGATGTTCCAGATATTCCAGTTGTTCCATTCCATGTTTTAGACGTTGCCATACCGTACTTCCTTCTGTACTTCCTGGAAATCAAACATTGTATTGCATCATAATGTAAATATAAATGGGGGATGAAACCGACAATTCTGAAATATTGGAATGGATATAACTTGCGTGTTATGCAACGGAAACCTTATATTTTTTACACGCAGTTTAGAAATGATACATTTAAGACTTCCCGTTGAAGGAAATTTTAAGAAACGGTTGTTTTAACCGCTTGAAGTATTAATGAAAAGTCGCATGCGTGTTTGGCGAAATATTTATTGCGAGGCAGGACACTATTCAAACTGGCAGAGTGTACATACAGCTTGTTTTGTGCTGATCGCCTCGTATTCAAGAAGTATTCAAGTAAAAAGGTATTTTATAACCAAGCCGTTTTCGCCCATGTTCGTCCTGTATGGCTCAGAGACCTATTCGGCCTTCTGTTCCTGTGCTACAGCCAGACGTTGCCCAACAGAATCCTGTTGTCCCTCAACAAGTCAATGTTGATCCAGACGCTATAAACCCTGGTTATCGTGTTTTTAGCCATCTTGCGTAGGTTATGCCCTCATATGTAGCATGCATAATAATGCTTCGGATCAGCTTATTGTTCAGTTTGTGTAAATAATCGGTCATGCTTTAATGGTGTGTGGTTTTACTTTGGGTCATGTAGCAGCTCCAACAAGGTCTTAGCTTTTGTGATTTGTCAAATAGATAGTTAAATATTAACAAGACGCCTACTCAGGCGTTCACACTGGTCTCGCGGTTGGTAAAATACCATCGCAATATTCTAAAAAATAATTTGAAACATGTAGATGTTCTTCACTTCTTGACGGCCGTAACTTCATGATCACAAACATTCAGAGGACGGCACAATAAAAATCCATACAAAACCAGTTCAGCGATATCGTATCGAAAAACACAGAAAAGTTCAAGCGCATGCGCAATGAAATATAATAAAATACATCCCACAATTACAACGTTTAAGATTTGTAAGGACCGTTCATTTTTTATCAGGAGGGGGGGGGGAGGGGGGAGGCTGGTGGTTTTGCATGCTTTTATTGATAATTTCGTCTTGACCCCCCCAACAGATGCAGGAAAATTTCCAGTGGCCCCCTTTCTACTCCAAGTTTTTTCCCATGACCCCCCTACATGCATGACCTCCGAAAGGTTTCTAATGTTACTTTTGCAACGTTTTAGGCTGATAATAAATACAATAATGCCTACAATTACTTTAGTAATACTGGCGGAAAAATAACCATTTTTGAGCTGAAAGTGGTTGTTTTTACCGCTCGTAATACAAAAATATACAAAATTTGCGAACTTCACATGACCTAGTATATTTTCTTCATTTTACAACATTTAGAAACACGCAAGTTGCCTCGCAAGTTGTAACTGTCAATTTCTCAAGTTCCTATCGCAAAACAATAACAAATCCAAAACCTGAACGAAGTACGAGGACTAATATTTTTCCTATCATTTGACAAATTAAAAGTATTATTCAAAAAATATGCCCATTTTAATCATAACGTGATACAAAAATACTAAATAACATGCAAAATTCAGTGCCAAAGAGGAATTTATTTTGCGGTAGTTATTAAAAATATGTAAACATATGTTCCCAAACTGGCACAGTTACCAATTAAACTACGCAATGCTATTTGCTCGGAGCAATATTTGCCAAACAACATTGAAAGATTGATTGTAGACTTGGTTCAAGTCCGTGTCTCAAGCATAGATATCTTATATACACTAGATAGTTCAGCCATCTATTCAAATGGGGGTAACCGCTGGAATATTCTTGGCTTCAATTTTACTAAAAGAGATGCGCTATCTAGCGTATATAATATATCTATGGTCTCAAGGGGTTGAAAATAGCGATGCACGCAAACGGGTAAAAAGGCGCGAAAATATGAGAGAAAAGTAGGGAGAGACGGGACTTGGATACCCTGCAAGCGCGCCAAATTTTACCGTCGGATTTTTCCTACGGAGGCGTGGCTGGCCAGTTGAGAACAAGTTACAACAACAAATTTTCGCGCCAATTTTTGCAAGTAACATTTGAAATGCTGCAAATGTCCCAAGTCCGTCTTTCCCTACTTTTCTCCGGAGACGGACTTGAACCAACTCTAGATTGATTGCAATGTTAAAATACTCATGGGAACAGAACATCAGGTTTGACTGTAATACTCAATGTTACTTCCAGTAACTTTTATTATTATATGGCTTTTCAAAATTCTCTATTCTGATTGGTCGACAAGCGGTCCGTAAAAACCCATATCCGGACTGTGGTCCGTATTTTCCGTGTCTGCACCGGTGTCCCGGATGTCGTTTATCTGGCGCGGGAAATTTTTGCTTTGCAAACAGAAAATATTTTTGCTTTTTAAATTTCCAATTGTGGTTTACAGATAAAAATTTCAAACAACCAAATTGTTTTTGATTGAGCATGCATGCCTACCGTATATTGTTACCCAGTGACGATGCAAAATTTTTTTTCCGTAGACAGTCGGACTCCTCATTGATAGTCGGACGCATCATTGACCCGCGCCCTTAAACGAAACATTCAGCGGATACTCTTCTTATTAGATGCGCTTCCCTGATGCCAAAATCTGAGCAGGACACATTGTGGCTTCATATCTTGTGTGGTGATGACATCTGACATATTTTATTAAGTTATATTCGCCATTCCCACATGATTTTCTTTGCTTTTGTAACTCTTTTTTGTAACTCTTTTCTTTGCTTTTGTAACTCTTTTTTGTAACTCTTTTCTTTGCTTTTGTAACTCTTTTTTGTACCTCTTTTCTTTGCTTTTGTAACTCTTTTTTGTAACTCTTTTCTTTGCTTTTGTAACTCTGCAAGTTTCATTGTTTTTGATTCCATAATTCTGAACAAACATTGCAATATCGTCCAGAGCGATTGCAGAATACCCGTCCATATTTTAAGCTATGGCTTTCAAACATGTGTACGATGTATTAATACATCTATATTTATTCTCAATAGATTAATAATAAATAGATTGGTAACGGTAGCTACGAGGCATGCAGTGACTTAGCATTAATATATTAAATTGTCATAGTGCACGTGTTAAAGGTAGCTCTATATTTTCGTGGATACGCGGATACGAAGTCAAGTCGTTATTTGGAGAACGAGGCATATACAGTTAGACTAGCATTAATATATCAAATTGTCATGCGTTATTTTGAGAACGAGGCATGCAGTTAGTTATAGATCAAATTGTGATAGGTTGCTCTATAGTCTATATTTTAGTGCAGTGGATACGTGGATACGCAGGTTCTCTCATGCTGACGTCTGATTTTCGTCATGTGCATGGTTTAACTGTGTAACGGTGTAATGTTCCTCACAACCGGACATTGGTGTTTGACAGATTATGATTAATTAGCGTCGCAGGAATAAATAATTTTACATATCATTTAGCATACTAAGCATTGTATCAAACATTAAAAGTCTTGCATGATATTTCCTTTATAGTATCAATTCGTAATATTGTCTTAGTAATTAGTTTGTGTATATTAGAACGAGGCAATAAGATCTGGTATATAGTATATTAGTATCCAGTGAAATATATGATATTACTAGTGGGCAGTATTCTGCAATACTTCCTCTCTTCAATTGGGATGATATATTGTTTTAATCGCAATAACAGTTCTTGAGTATTTTTGGAACCAGAAAAATAAGTCTGCAGATTTGCTATGGCATCGCGAAGCAAATCGTTCATCTTTCTACACGTGGTCGAAGAAGAACAACGTGGAGTGATGGATATATGGTGTACCAGTGGGTTACGCAGGGTACAAACGGATCGATCGATAACGCGCGGAGGCCTGGACGCGGATCAATGATGCGTCCGACTATCAATGAGGAGTCCGACTGTCTACGGAAAAAAAATTTGCGGCGGCGACGTAGCCCTGGTAAACGCTGGTCACGTGACTCCAACATTACGTAATTGTTACTTTTCTCAACCGGGGGGTGAATAGGTGAAACTCGAAGACAAACAGTTTTTATCTCCGAAATTCTTCAAT